TCCTCTCAGCTGGAAACTGGAAGGAATTTACTCTTGTTTCTCACTCTGAGGAACAAGATGTGAATGGACAAATGTGTCCTCACGTTTTAAATGCTTCCCCGCCCTCCTGAAAGTGTTACATCCCTCTGGGTTATCCATCCTCACCTGCACTCCCTTCCCTGCTGCTCTGTCCTCAGAGATGGGCTGCACTCTCTATCCAAGACAAAGCTGGAAAGATTTTAAGTTGGCCAAATGTACATCACACTGAGTCACAGTCAATTAACCTAATCAAGAATTTCTCTAATCAAAACATACGTTTCTGGGCTGGCAGTTTCTGACTCAACCACAATTCATTCAATCTTAAGGAAAAATCATTAGAAAAACCATCTGTTCTCCTTAAATAGAGGAGCTATTTTTGTGTTCATAATGAGCCCAAGTAATTATAAAACAAGTGGAGTGGGTTTCAAAAAGAAAAATAAAAAGAGAGGGTAAGACAGCTGCTACCTTGTGATTATCAAGGTACTAACACATTTCCAGCCATGTGGAGTTCAGGCCTTACACTCCTCACCTTATTAAGCAACGTGTGCCCCATTGTCATCCCATTAGCACAGTAAAAGCTGCAGGGAGGCACTGGGGGCAGAGTGCAGAAGAGTGAGATTTGGTGAATGAATATTTACATACTAGAACTGAACAGCAGCAGAATCCCAAAGTTAAAGTTCTCAGAGGAAATGGTGACAAGGTCCCACGCAACTGCTATTTTTGTGTGCCAAATTCAAGACTTTATTCCTCAAAATCATCAGTCAGTTGACACCTAATCCTAGGGGATCTGACATTTTTTGCATTAAAATTCCCTGGGCACCCACCTGCTCACAGAAACCATGACAGCATGAACCAAAACAGCAGAACTCTTTCATACCTAATCCTCCCATAACCCAGAGCACAGAAACTTCTGCCTACGTTTCCTGCTGAGATCATCCATTACTAAAGAGATGAAGAGCCATGTAAGATCATGTGGGCAGCACTTTTCCTTTCCAGCATGGCTACAAGGTGGGCCAGTGGGGCGCTCACATTTTCTGAAAAAAATCCCTTCTCCCAGGATTTTTCTCCTGGAAAGCTGAGAAGCCTCAGAAAAAAGGAAACATTCTTATCTCATTTGCTTCTTCTGTGTTGTGCTCACATGTGGAATGTGTTTGGAGATTGTTTACCCACAGGTGATTGTTTCAGTGGATTCTGGTTCACATTCTCTGAAAAATCCCTTTGCTCAGGATTTTTCTCCTGGGAAGCTGAGAAGCCTCAGAAAAAAGGAAACAATTCTTATCTCATTTGCTTCTTCTGTGTTTTGCTCACGTGGAATGTGTTTGGAGATTGTTTCCCCACAGGTGATTGTTCTATTGGGTTCTGCTGTGAGTTGTTTTGACTCTTTGGCCAATCAGGGCCAAGCTGTGTCAGGAATCTGGAGTCAGGAGTTTTCATTATTATCTTTTTAGCCTTCTGTAAGTATCCTTTCTGTATTCTTTAGTATAGTATAGTATTCTTTAATATAATATAGTATTATAAAGTAATAAATTAACCTTCTGAGAACATGGAGTCAGATGCATCATTCCTGCCTTTACTGGGACATTTCCCAGCAAATGCAATGGGCCAGCCCTGAGGGGATGTCCTGGCTTTGCCCAGAAGGATCTGAGCCCCACCATGCTCACTGGCCTGGCCTGTGGGACCCTCCTGAGGAATTCTCTCTCAGAACACCCTGCTGGAGTTGCTCCTTCTAAATGTTCAGTGGACCAAAGAGAAAGGCCAGAGGAGCACAAGCCCATTGTGAACTCCATTGTGAGGGAGCCTCCTGACCCAAGGCAACCTTGACTTTCTGCTCATGCTGCAGGGGTTGCTGCTGCCAAGCACAGAGAACGTGGGCAGCAGCTCAGGAGTCTGAAACTCCTTTTTGCAGCCCAAGAAAGGGGCACATTCTGCCTCAGTGCTGCTCTGCCTCTCACACTGATTGACTTAGAGCAATCCTCACATGCTGCAGGGCTTCCCAATGTGGTGGTGCTCACAGGGGTCCCAGAACAAGGGAAGAGATGAGAATCTTGGCTCCGTGTTTCAGAAGTCTGATATATATTATATTATATTATATTATATTATATTATATTATATTATATTATATTATATTATATTATATTATATATATCATATATCATATCATATCGATATATTAAAACTATACTAAAAGAATAAAGGATTTCATCAGAAGGCTAGCAAAGAAAGGAAAGGAATGAATAACAAAAGCTCGTGACTCTCAGAGAGCCCAAGACAGCTGACTGTGATTGGCCATTAATTAGAAACAACCACATGAGACCAATCAAAGATGCACCTGTTGCATTCCACAGCAGCAGATAATTATTGCTTTCCTTTTCCTCTGAGGCTTCTCAGGAGAAAAATTGTGGCAAAGTGATTTTTCAGAAAATATCATGGGGACATCCCATGGAGACACCTGGCAGTTACTGGTTCTGTGGGACTGCTCTGTTTCAGGTCTGACAGAAGCTCCTGGACATTGCTGCAGTGTCAGGGGAGGAAACCTTCCCTCAGGGTCCCCAGCTCTTGGGTGAATAAGCCAAGAACACCTCTGTTTTCCATCACCCTGGAGGGAGATAGGGGGAGTGAAGAGGGTAAAGAACTGAACCAAAAAAACAAGGAAGCAATGGGAAGGCAAATGGGGAGAAGAGAAACTCTGGGGATCTGTCCTTGTGCCTTCAGCAGGCAAATAAATGACTGCATAGTCATTGCTGTGGAAGCACTGAAAACAAATGTTCCTGCTAGAATCACTCCTTCCCCCCTTGAGATTTCCTGTTGGGAATCCTTAAATCCATTCCTTCTCCTCTAAAAGGGGGACCTGAAGCTCTGTTCCCAGAGTTGTAGCACATTTAATTTATTTGCTGCTTTTCTTGACTCTGTAACATTTGGACCCACGTCAGCACAAAAGAGAAGGTCAGCTTTGTTTTACGTTTCTGTTTCTAGCTCCTAGTTTTGCAGGAGAAATATCTGGAAACCAGAGGTGAGCAGAGTAAAGGTCAGTCATGGTGTATGCTTTTTGAGACTTAAAACTAGTGACTTTTCAGCATTAGCTTACAGGGTTGGGAGCAAGTGGCAACACTGTCACCTTGACATCTTCACAGAGCCTGAAGCATGTAATTCTTGATAGAACAAGGATCTAATTCTCAATAGGACAAGGAGTAGTGGCTTCACACTGAAAGAGAGTAAGTTTAGATTAGACGTTAAGAAGAAATTCTTGTCTCTGAGGGTGCTGAGGCCCTGGCACAGGTTGTTCAGAGAAGCTGTGGCTGCCCCACCCATGGAAATGTTCCAGGCCAGGTTGGATGGGGCTTGGAACAGCCTGGGATAGTGGAAGGGGATGGCAGAGGAGTTGGAACAAGCTGATCTTTAAGGTCCCTTCCAACACAAACCATTCTGTGACTCAGACACACCTAAACCAATTTTCAGAGTGGCAAGGAACAGCACATCCATCCTCTGCCCCACCTGACCTTCCCCAGTGATAAAGGGGAAACCATGGGCAGCACCAGAGCAGGACACACTGAGCTGTGCCAGCGCAGACAGGGCACTTTGAGGGCTCCTCCTGCAGGGACAACATTCCATTTGTCTTTACTAAATTACAGTAAATGTACTAAATCTGTCTTTACAAAATTTTGTCATTTTGGACAGATCGGGTCATGTGGCCTGGGTTGCTGGGTAATGAGAAAGGTGAGGTTAAAGGTGAGCCCCAGTATTTGGGCTAACTTGAGAATATCATCAGATACAGTCAAGACTCTTTAACTGCATGGTGGGATGTCATAGACATATTTTATGAAAAATCCTTTCGTTAGGATTTTTCCTCCTGAGAAGCTGAGAGGCCTCAGAAATGAAATGTAAACAATGGTTTTCTGCTGCTGTGGAATGCAACAGGTGCATCTGTGATTGGTCTCATGTGGTTGTTTTTAATTAATGGCCAATCACAGTCCGGCTGTCTCAGACTCTCTGGTCAGACACAAGATTTTATTATCATTCCATTCTTTTCTATTCCTCGCTAGCCTTCTGATGAAATCCTTCCTTCTATTCTTTTAGTACAGTTTTAATAGATCATTTTCTTTTAATATAATACATATCATAAAATAATAAATCAGCTTTCTGAAACATGGAGTCAAGATTCTCATCTCTTCCCTCATCCCGGGACCCCTGTGAACAGCACCACATTGGGATCACTATTTTCTACCCATGAAGTGTCCCTTACATATGTATAAATGTGTAATTAATGCACAGTTATGTGCACATCCCATGGTTCAGCCCATGACAACATTGGCATGAGGCTCCTGGAGCCAGGCAGGAGAACCACTCTGATACACAGCAGGAGCATCACAGACAGAAAAACCTGCAGGCTGTCAGATCCCTCACTCTGAACTGCCCCAAAAAACACAGCAGAACTTCCAATGCAAATCATGGCAGAAATCCACCCTCACTTGTTTACAGGCTGTCTTCCGACTTCAGCATGAAATGAATTCTGCTTCCACTGAAAAGTCTGTGGTGCAACAATCATAGAAAATTTAAGTAAAGCTGGGGAAACAATTAGTAATGTTATATTGAAATGCAGGGAGCAAACAAAGTCATTCAAACTGCAGAAAAGGACCCAAAGCACTGCTGCACAATGCTGTGAGCATTTGTACATCTCACCTCTTACAGCTTCAGTGAAAACTCAGCAAGCATTCACTCTGAAGTGCAGCAACAGAACCTCCTGGGTTAATTTTTCAGCAGGGCTCCCAGCACATTTGTAACCCCCACATGATGACCAATGAATTTAATTACAGTGTTGATGCTATAGAAATTCTTAAAGTCATTTTTTCACCCAGAAAATCAAATAATTTGTAACTCTGTCATGATTCATGGAGCATGCACATCATTTTAACACTTTAAAGGCAAGTATCACAACTTCACCAACTAAAATCTACACCTCCATCAAGCAATAATAGGTATTTTACCTAAATGTGTAGCTCTGAAGTAAATCATGAGGCAAAAATATCAGCTTCTATAACAAATAACCTTCTAGTCCTTGTGGCAATGAATAAAAAACGCCTTCTTTCCTTCTATCTGCTCCTCTGGAGAGAAACTCTGAAGATTTCAAGTGCTGCAAAACAAGAAAGAGGACAAAACCCACCCACACATGAAGCATTTTGTGTGATTTCTATGGTGATTGTGTTGTTCTTCAGGGTTGACTCAAAGTTTTTAAGCACAAAGCAGAACCAAGGCTCGTTATGCAAAACGGATTTCAAACAAACCTTCTCAAGTATTTTCAACAAAAGTTATTGATGGAAAATGTTGGTTCCAAAGAGCCACTGGGAAACAAGAGAGAAGAAATACCCACTCTAGAACAGTGCTTCATGCCCCCTGCCATTGTCTGATAAATACATAACAAATCCTTTTCTGCAGACAACAGCCTCAAGATGCCAATAATGCCTTTAAACAGTGGCCCAAATGTTTACCTTGAGATCAAACTCACATCACCAGCAGGAATCAGCATTGTGTGAATGCCTTCTCTCTGCAGAGTCCCTCTCCCCACACTGGTACAAATAATGCTTGGGAAAGGAGAAAGCACCACACCAAAGAGCAGTAAATTCTTATAGAAAGCTCACTTCTTTCAATTGTAGTGAGACATCAAAAAGACCTGAGTAGATCTTTGTTAAAATTATTGGGTTTTTGTTCAGCCACCAAACATTTTTGTTCCAACAAAGCAAGCAGGTTGTCAGGATAATGTGATAGGAAACTTTTGGGAGAATTTTTTTAATTTATGTACATTATCTGAATATGCTCCCTAAACACTTCTGAGATGTAAACCACATTTTGATTTTACACATTTTTGTAAGAAGTGTTAAATGTTTGAAAACTCTTGTTTTGACACAAAAAAAGCAGTTCTGGCATCTGAAAACCTGCATTTTTTTCTAGAATAACAATAATCTTAAAAACACACCTGCCAGCTGTAGGAGTAAGCACTATCTGCAAGTTCCCAGATGTTTTCAAACCCTATCAAAGCCAATGAAGGTTAATTAGGACTGACTCCCTACTCCTTGAAGGCACCCAGTGTCTTGTGTATTTGAGTCACATACAATAATATTAATATTAATATTAATTGTATATAATTATAATTAAATTATTATATATAATATATATTATATTATATTATATTATATTATATTATATTATATTATATTATATATATTATTATATAATTATTAATAATATTATTGATAATATTAATAATAATATTAAGAATAAGAATTCAAAATTAAAATGTATTATATATTTTATTCTGATATATTTATAATTCTATATTTATTATAATAATTGTTACTTATATTATATTATTATTATATTATATTATATTATATTATATTATCATAAAATTATAATAATAATAATGATAATAATAATAATAATAAATTACAGAGCACTATAGAAACAGCACAGGCAAACAGGGAGCAGAAGCAAACCCCCCTCACCAGTCTCAAAGTCAGCATCAGACAAGGTTTGTTCCAGTGAAGGTGTCCCTGTCCAGGGCAGAGGAGTTGTAATTAAATGATCTTTAAGGCCCTTTCCAACCCAAACCATTCCAGGACTCTGTGGCAGAATCCCAACACAAATCCCAGCTGTGCAAGAGACAGAGAGAGACACAAAAGGTGCTTGTGGACAGAGGGGTCAGAGTGGTATGAGGTGCCCTAAGAAAGAAAATAAACATAAACCAGCCCCATCCCATCCCATCCCATCCCATCCCATCCCATCCCATATACACATTTACTTATGTACGTAGTCTAATTTACAAAAAAAAATCATGTATCTTTTCTGATCTCTTCCTATACTAACAGCTGTGTCTTCTTCCTTACTACAAATACGCTCAAAAATCATCAATTATTATTTCTTCTATCAACTCAACTTTACCTACAAACCAACCATCAAACCCCTCAATTTCAACTGACTGTTTACCCACCCATTGTTCAACCCTCCAACACAAAGCCAATCTATCTGAAACATAAAAAGGAAGGTAGCCAAGAAGTTCATTTCAGACAGCACAGATAACTCAGCACCCCTGATTGATTAAAACACCCCTGATTGATTAAGACATGCCTAATTGGAGTTGATTACAACCACTGTGACAGGCTGGGTGTATTTGTATCTGATTGATAACCATGTTCTCCTCTGGTTGGGAATTCATCTCCCAAAACTACACAAAGAACACTCTGCAAAGTCTAAATAAGAACCAATCACACCAATCTGTAGAGGCAGTGGCTTGCCAGCTCTGAGGAAGCTTAAACTCAGCCCTCGCTGAATAATTGATCAAACTTTCTGTGAGCCATCAACAGCAGATCACACAAAGGGGACACGAACACAAACTCTCCTTAGTGACTGCTCAACCCCATCAGTCATCACATCAACCTACCTAAGGCACATCTGAGGCTGCTTTTTCAAAACAAAGCTGCCTGATGATTTTAGAATGTCCCCTGGTAATTATGGCTGCTCCTCTTTGCTTAAGAGATGTCTCTGCAGCTGAGCAGCTCCACGGAAGGACGCACCCAGATGGGAATCACTTGTTCCCCACGTGCACAGGAAGAGAAAGAGCACTCCAAGAAGGCAAATAAACATCCAGGCTCCTGCAGATGGCTCCCTGAGGAGGGGCTGGCATCATTACTGGGAGCAAAGGCAAGGCTCAGAGCTGCACTTCCCAAAGCCTGACACAGCTGGAAGAGCTCGGGCTGCTTCCAGCACATCCTCAGCCCCACCACAGCCACAACACTTCATCCAAAATCACCCCTCTGCACCGAACAGGACCCATTGCACCGTGACAGAGGCAAATTAAACCAGTGCTACAGCCCTCAGTAACGAGGCTACGGGGATGCATGGTGCCATGCAACCTCAAAAGTATTTGGTTTAGTACGGAGGGGTTTGGTAGTCGGTTTGTAAGAAAAGTTGAGTTGATAGAAAAAATAATAATTGATGATTTTTGAGTATATTTGTAGGAAGGAAGAAGACAAGGCTGTTAGTACAGGAACAGATTAGAAAAGATACAGGAAAATTTTTGTAAATTAGACTACATACATAAGTAAATGTGTATATGTACCTAATTAAAATTCTATAAAAATTTAACCAATTATATTAACACTAATTACTTTAAACCAATGAATATAATAAGTTATTGTGATGTAGTTAATGACTAAAGATCACACTTTGTTAAGGGTATATAAATTAAAGAACAAGAAAAATTAATACTTGTTTTTCTTAAACTCTAATCATGTAGGTATATGTCACGTCCTACCTAACAGTAACAGTTTGTTAACTCACTTTTGTCCTCAAACCTCTAAAAATGTTTTATTATAAGCTTGGCTGCAGGATTCACAAGCCCTTTATCTTTTGAATTTTCTCTGCACCTTTGTAAATGCAGCCCAGTTCTTCAGTGAAGCCCTCTCCATCCTCTCCTCCAGGAGAGATAAAGGTGCCAATCTTTGTGAAGAACAAACCCTCCTCAGAAGCAGCATCCCTGGAGAATATCCCCCCCACCCCTTGAATCAAAACAGGAAGGAAACAGATTTTGAATATCCTCCAATTTACTTTGAGGTCTGACTATGCACCTAAATGTTCTCTCACAGGGACAGGTGCATAGGCACAAATGCAGGATCTCTGTGGAAGTGCCTGTGTTTCACATGCTTAGAAAAGAACACACAAGTGCAATCAATATTTTCCAGAAAGCAGACATTTCTTAACACTTACTTTCAACACAGCCAGATGTGATGCAGGTCTATTATTAGCAACAATTTAGGCAATGTTACATCAAAATGAAACAAGACAGGAAAACCTAAACCAAGATACAGCGACATGAACTTTCAAATGGAAGTCCATGTACTTCCAGTATTTAAAAACTGCTCTGAAGAGTCACATGTATGTTTCCTCTTTTAAATACATTCCCTTGGGAGATCTTTGATTTTAAAATATACAGAATGGTCTTATTATTATGAGGACACCATCAAATCATGAAATAATTTAGGCTGGAAAAGACCCCTAAGATCACCAAGCCCAACCAGCACTGCCCAGCCCACCACTAACCCATGTCCCCAAGTGCCACATCTGCACTTCCTTTAAATCCCTCCAGGGATGGAAACTCCACCACTGCCCTGGGCAGCCTGTTCTGATGCTTGACAACTTTTTCCACTAATTTTTTTTCCTAACATCCAATTTAAACCTCTTCTAGCACACCTTGAGGCCATTTCCTCTTGTTCTATTGCTGGTTCCTCACAGAGCCTGAGCCCCACCTGGCTCAGGGAGCTGTAGAGAGTGAGAAGGTCCCCCCTGAGCCTCCTTTTCTCCAGGCTGAGCCCCTCCAATTCCCTCAGCTGCTCCTCATCAGATTTGTTCTCCAGACCCTTTCCCAGCTCCATTCCCTTCCCTGCACATGCTCCAACCCCTCAAAGTCTTTCTTGACGTGAGAGGCCCAAACCTGAGCTCAGGATTCGAGGTGCAGCCTCAGCAGTGAGAGTGCAGAGGGACAATCACTGCTGTGCTCTGGCTGGCCACACTGTTCCTGGCACAGCCCAGGTTCCATTTGCCTTCTTGCTCACCTGAACCTCACATTCACTGCTGCCAACACCCCCTGGTCCTTTTCTCCAGGCAGCTCTCCAGCCACTCTGCCCTGCCATGGTGGTACATGGGTTCTTGTGATCCTGGGTTCTTGTGATCCAGGTGTAGAACCTGGCACTTCACTTTGTGGTCTCATAAAATTGGGCTTGGTCCATCAATCCAGCCTTCCTCATCCCTCTGCAGAGCCTTCCTTCCCTCCAACATTCCCACCCAACCTGATGCTGTCACCAGCACACTCAATCTCTTCATCAAGATCATCAATAAGGGGCTAAACAGCACTGACTCCCACAGCTTTAATTAAAACTGCATTAGAAATGGAGTCAAATGATGCGCAGCTCTGTTTGGCACTGACCTGAACTGTGTCCAAGCTAAACTCATTTCCAATTGAGCTGAAGCCACAGTGACTGGAAACCAAACTTCCCTCACTTCTGATCCTCGAGCCAGCAGGAACAATGAATTATTCAGCAATGAAACC